ATATTTAAGTAAAGGCCACACATCGGCTTTATGGGGTCACCGAATGGTACTTGATTTATTAAGGCTGTACAGACCATATTGTGAGACTGTGTTACCTGTTAGCTAAAATAAAGTGTCAAAAGGAACAAACGGACGTGCAAAATACACGCCCTGAGCCGAACAGGGGCAGACTGATTTCTAGTCACCCATAGAACCACATCTAAGTTCCCGGTTCCGGAATTCCTCCTTGAAGTCCACGTCTTCTCTTTGAAAAAAATATGGTCTCACCAGCATATACTCTACTGTGAGACAATGAATAGAGCTGCTTGCAGTGCACATTGACACTAACAAGTGGAGGTGTTTGTACCTTAGGCTGCGTTCATACTTTGCGGCAGCGTACGCCAGCGTACGCTAGCGTTTCCAGCGTTCGCCAGCGGCAGTGGCAAGGAAAGGATAGATATTGATCCAGCGTCACCAGCGTGCGCTAGCGTAACGTCAAAGTATTCTAGCGTTACGCCAGCGTAGCGAGGGCAAGGAAGGTACAGGTATCGATCTAGCGTTTCCATCGTTTCACCAGCGTTTGCAGGGTTTCACCAGTGTTTCACTAGCGTTCGCAGCGGCGTGAAGTAGAGACTATGGGAGACAGGGCACAGCATTCGATGGGGATTTTGGTCGAGCCTGTACGACCCCCCCCCCTTTTTTTGGGGGTTCGGTACGACCCCCCCCCTTTTTTTGCCGTTTGGTTTTTTTGTGATGCGTATCGATACGCATCACAAAAATTCCGCAGAACCGCTGCGTTTCGGCGGCCGGGGAAAAAGCAATAGATGCGTATCGATACGCATCAAAAACTTTTCGCCGAATCGCTGCGTTTCGGCGGCTGGGTAAAAAGCAATAGCAATCAGCAAAGTAAAAAGCAATAGCAAAGCAATAAAGCAGTTAAGCAGCAGTTTTTGATGCGTATCGATACGCATCAAGGACTTTTCGCCGAATCGCTGCGCGTTTCGGCGGCGGTTCAGCAGAACAGAATCGGCTCCAACAAAATAAAAAAATATAAAAGCAAAATAGGATGAATACAATCGAAACAGGATGAATAGAGTGAACGAAAACGCTAAAACGCTTTTATCGCGCTAAAAATGCATTAACCCCGAGATGTGGGGTACGGTAGCAGAAGTGCGTGTGTAATTGCAGCCGTGACCGGAGATTATTCGTCAATTTTAGCCATGGAGCGAGAATTTTCAGCAAAGTGGGGTGTCTTTTAAGGACCATAACTTCCTCAAAAGCGGACCTGTGGGGAAGAGGAGACCGTATTCGTGTAGAGGAAGGATTGCACTTTCTAAAAGTACTGAAACGTTTATGAAGGTCGCAAAAATCACAGAGAAATCTGCCCATAGGGATTCCATGGGGAGTGAAGGGTTGAAGTTTAAGTTGAACAGGTTTGAATCCAATATATTTTTTTTTGTAACTCAACATTTCACAAATCTGAAACGGATCCGAGGCTAAAGTTTTTTCTTTTATCAAAACTTCTGTTGAAAAGTGTTTTCTGAAGACTCTCGCGATTCATGAGATCTCCTAATGGCGGAATTCTTTGCGAACACTCCCAGCTGCCGCGAAAACCCGTTTCCTGTGTACCGTTCCAAGTGAGCGTGTTCGAATAGCCAGGAACGCATGTAGAACGTATCCTGTGGTGGAGCAGGAGCAGGATATGGTTCGTTTAGCGCCGATCACGCTGACTTTGGATGCGCCGCGCACTGAGGGCCGCGCAGAAGTGATGGGATGGTAACTTGTGCGTAATGTCTGTTCCACGCGAGCAAATGTGTCGATTAGCATCACGGAGTCGACTGTGCACTTGTTTTACAGTGTTTTCCCTTGTGGATGATGGAGCGTGTCTGTGTCGACGCCGCCCGATCTGTGCTCCTCCAATTGCTGTCTCCGATAAAGGAGACCAACTGCTGGAAAACGTCTGATACGAACGATATGGTAGTCGTGTCGCTTGTCGAAAAAAAAATAGGCTGGCTCAGCCCCAAGCGCAATCGCGGACACGCCCCATCATCTGCAGCAAATCAGAGCCTAATGCGTCCTTACTGTTTAGTCACTCATCAACGGACTTACGAGATGATGTCGACTCATTTAAATTCCAGTTATTTCGCATTTTTATGGCTGAAAGTTTTGTCCTTTTTTCAAATATCTGAGTTCTCTACAAAGTAAGCTTCGCTGTACCGCACTCAGCACATTGACACCTTGCGCTGCTCGATACTGGCTACGCACTCTCGGACCGCTGCTCTCCTGGCGGCACAAATACGACCCCCCAATGGGGATCCCACCAATGCTGTGCCCTGATGGAGAGTAGGGAACAGTTCGGTCGGGCGTGCTGTGTAATCGCGGCGTGTGTAGACGCACCGCACCAAAAATACCGTACACTAAATTGGTTTGAAGGCGCGTAAATACAAGAGATGCACCCGATCTTATCGCACGCACTGCGCATGAGCGTATAGGACCATTTGCGAACCTGTCAGTCAAAACATGAGCCTGCTATTTCGGTCAGCCGTATATTCGACCAGAATCGTTTCATACAAATTAATAAAAGCTCCCAAAAAATGGAACAATCCCCAACAGCATCCCTCAAAAGGATATCTTAGCTGCAAAAGCCAGCGTTTTCATAGTTCTCTTCAACCTCGGCACGACACTGGAAAAAAAAAAATTCCTTTCCAACAGCCAAACCACATACTTCTCCAATTTAACCAATTTAGTACGGTATTAGTAGTGCGGTGCGGCTACACACGCCGCAATTTCACAGCACGCCTAATCGAACTGTTCGCTACTCTCCTACTCTCCCATAGTCTCTACTCCCCGCCGCTGCAAACGCTAGTGAAACGCTGGTGAAACGCTGAAAACGCTAGGTCGATACCTATGCTTTCCTTGCCCTCGCTACGCTAACGTGCGCTAGATCGATATCTATCTTTTTCCTTGCCACTGCCGCTGCCGAACGCTGGAAACGCTAGCGTACGCTGGCGTACGCTGCCGCAAAGTATGAACGCAGCCTTACACATTGTAGAGGAGTCTATAGGTCTGTCAACATTCAATCCCATTTCTGGATGATGCCTCAACAAACATTTACCAACGATGTTCAGAGCTCTGGTCATAATCACCTCCTGGTCACTCAGCAGGCAAAACTCCGCGACGAAGTCTCAATTTTGTGACGTGACTTTAGTCGCCGAGGTACCCTGTACAAGACATAATGGGCTGTCCACCATCGCACATAATGGCAAATATTTCAGGGGACCCGAATAAACGCTCACCGACTTGTTCTTTCCGCATGCTCAGTATACTTCAAAGCAATGTTTACTAATGGCCTGGCTGAAAGCCGCATGAGTAGGTTTATCATTTTCTCCTCAAATCTCAGATCCGCGCGGCACCGATCTACTGTTACTACTCCAAATACTAAAGAAATTCTGTGGCCAAACGCCCACAGAAATGAGTTGGCGCCTGATCACGGATACGATATTCGTTTTTCAGCGCTGGCGTCATTTGACGCCAATGTCGCCAAATTCGCGCTGCCACATGTCTAATCAGAGTCGATGAAAACTAGTTTATTGGTCTCATTCAGAGACAACTCTTGCGAAAGCTCATGAGGACTAGCAAATTTAGCAGAATTTTACGTGCAACAAACGCGTGTTGAATTTTACTGCGTTTCCCGGTAAGAGCATATGGAATCCCCTACGACACCCCAGGCAACGTTTAAAAACGCGCAATTCCCCTTGTAAACCGTTGCCTTGCGGAGTGAAAGTGATCGTGGTTGCAGTGGCTACAATAATCGTCTCTAATCTCTTCATCTCGCCGTTTTGAATTACGGAAGTGGTACATTCTTTGCGAATGCAGATTACGATGCCAAATGCACGGTGGCATTTCACGGGTCACTTGATCGCGGGAACTGTCTTTAACATCCTGACATTCACTCTTGACCTCGCCGCCAATGAAGGACACTCTGATCATCTGCGCTCTGTGAGGCTGAGCTGGCGGGAAGGGAATCAAGTACTAGCCCCTTTCCCCTCCCGTTGGGATTCTCCCAGCGATCCTGTACCTTAGATCAACACCGTAAGCATTGCTCTTTTATCATTGTACGTTTTTTTTGCAAAACAAGGTTTTTTTTGCAGAAGAAATAGAAATAGTGGGTGTGAAAGCCTCGGCGCTCAAAGGTCTTGTTGATTTCTGCTATACTGGGAAGATAACGATCAACAACACCAATG